GAGTGTCATTCGCCGCTGCAGAGGCTATGCGGCGAAAACTGCGGCAAGACATGAAGGCCGTGTCAGAAGCACCGTCAGTGAGCGGAGTGGAGCGGCACGGCAATGGCAGCTGCCATCCGCTCTCCCCTGGGAGCCGCTGTGAGAGTTGAGTGTCATTCGCCGCTGCAGAGGCTATGCGGCGAAAACTGCGGCAAGACATGAAGGCCTCGCTCATGGCAAACGGATCATCGGGCATGTCCACGTCATCCGTCTCCGCGAACGGCTCAACGGAGACGCCCCGTCCCAGCGTTGGGCGGAGGCTCAACGGCGAGCCTTGCGCCGTAAAGAAGTCAGAGTCGGAAAACGCACTATTCAGAAAGTCTTCTTCCGACACGTCGCACCCAAAAGCCGGCTCGGCGATTTCACATCGCGATGGTGTAAGCGGGCTCATAGAAACTTCCTGTTCACCAGAATCAGCCTTGTCTTTGGGGCCCACGCACACGCTGCTTCTGCCTGTTCCCTTGCCCGCGTCCGCCAACTCCGGTGCATCCCCCACTGCCTTCAGCATGGCATCCTGCTTAATAAGCAGCGGTGCGTTGCCGTTCTGCTGCATGGTTACTGCCGCCCACTCATTTCCTTCGACTGTGTTTGATGCCTCGGGGGGAGGCCCCTGCAGCAGCGGCTCCCGCAGCGGCTGCTGCCTCTCTGTTGGCGACGCACAGCAGTTACCCATTGCTCTCCTCCCACTCCGCTCCCGGTCCCTCTACTGTTGCTTGCTGTGTGTTTGTGTGTGTGTCGGCCTCTCCGTTCCTCTTGTCGCTACTGTGTCTCCCGGTGCGTGTATTCGCGGGGTCTGCAGTGTCCACAGGCACCTGTATGTTTGTAAACAAAGAGAATGAGGAGGAGATGAAGGGAGACAAATAGCCGCAGCGTCCAGTAGAAGCATACACGCATGCGCACTCCCGCACGAGTGCGTCCATAAGGGCCGTGGCGCCGCTTGGAGGCCGCGTTGAAGAACAAGAACAAAGAAAAGAAGACGTTGATGATGATAACTTCGTCCACAGCAACGCCACGACTTCTGCATACATACAGGCATATATATATATATATATATATGTATAAAAATATGAAGTTACATGCAGAGACTTGGCAGAGATCAAGCACTGGAACTAGTAGTAAAAGCCCACAACGGTGGGGAAGTCATCCAGGCTTCCCCCTTTTTGTGGGTGGCTTGGACTGCGCCGGCCGCCGCCATCGCACGGCGGGGCAAGTCGCATCAAGTAATGAGGGCAACTATAACATATACAGCGTTGGTTAACATTTGCGATGCAGGCGCGCCCCTTCCATAGCTTGCACCGCGTTGGATCCATCCTGCGCCGTCCATTGCCCTGCCTCCCCACACCAGTCAGTGAAGGCACCGCAGCGACGCGTACGCACGCATACACACACGCACAGACACGTGGAGAGAGAAGTGCATGGGGGCACCGCAAGAATTTGAATTTAAAAAAAAAACACCGACCAAAAAGGAGAAGGGTGTAAAAAAAACGGAGAAATCACGTTTATATGAAAAACGCAGAAAAAAAAGACAAAAAAGGCAAAAATAAGGAGAGCAAGAGGCAGTGAGAATGGAGAAGGGGCAGAGAAGTGCACACGCGGTTGGCTGTGTGTGGGCAAAGGAGACGCCGTGGGGAGAATCATCTCCGGCGGCGCCAGCTGGCACGGGCGTACATGTGCACGTGACTCCGCGCATATAAAAAGGGAGTTGTAAACGCTTGCGGATGGGTCATTCTCTCTTCCTCCTCGCCTCCTCTGCATCTCCGACAGGGGCGACACCGTGCGCGCATTGGCACGGCGGCCCAAGCATATATTTATATATGTATATACGCTTAGGTAGCAGAAGCAGGCGGAAGAAACGACACAGCCGCTACCGAGGCGAAAAGAGCAGTATTTTTGTCGTAGTGTGGCATGTGGTTTGTTTGCTTTTTTTTGTGTGTATGCGTCGCTTTCCCCTGTCTCCTCCGCCTCGCCGTCTTCGTTGCTGCTCCTCGGGCAGATTCCAGACTCACCCAATACCTGTGTACCGTCCCGCCAGCACTCGCATCTTCCTCGTCCCCCCGCCCCCCTCCATCCACGATGACGCACCGTCGCTGCCGATCCACAGACTCAGGCCACGTGTGCGTTGCGCGCGTGCAGGAGGAGACGGATCTGCTCCAGCACGTCCCAGCCCCTGCTGTTCTTTTCCCACGGAGGTTCCACGCGAGGCTCGGCTGGCTTCTCGGCCTTCGGTGAGCGACTGGACGGGACCATCGGCGGCAGTGTTGCACTGCGCACGAGTTCCACCTCTCGTGGCATGTACGGGGAACAGCACTCCTCTACAAGGGAAGTCGGCGTCGTGGATTGCGTAGGTGTTGTCGTAGGCGACGACGACGAAGTGTGAACACTTCTCGGATGCCGCGCCCCCTCATCACGTAAATTTCGCGCCGGTGAGACACCGTTCAACGCAACAGGGGGCTTCCTTCGTTCCATGCGATCACTGTGTGGCGGGCTCGAGTGCCGCGAGGACGAAGTCCGTATGGGCAGCGGGCGTTCGTCGACGGTGGCCGGGTTCCGCGGGGACTCCACCGGGCTGCGTAGGAGGCGACGCCCGAGCTCCGACGACGACGACGTGGCAAAGGGCGACGACGACAGAGACGTTTTGCTGCCAGTCGACACGGTGTGGTGCCCCGCGCCCGATGCAAGCGCCCGCGTTGGGGGCGGTGGGCGTATGACCCGTGTCTCGCGAACCTCAACGGCTTGCAGGACTGGCGGTGGGGAGGGGCCGGCATGACGCCGTTTCGGCCGAGAAATCTCCACCGCGTGGAGCGGCCGCACCCACGACGGTGTTCCGGAGGTCGCGGTGGGAGTCTCCGTCCCGGGGCCCTCGACAGCCGCCTTCTTCCCTCGTTTCTTTGCCTTGGCCTTCTTCTTTGAGGGGGCTTCGGGCGAGTGGCTGCTCTTGGGCGGGTCTATGCTCCCGCGGGAAGAGCCGTCCCCGTGCAGGCCTCGCGTGTCCTCCCTGGTTTTGGGTCCCTTGGAAGCGGAGCAGCCCATCCCCTCCGCCTGCGTGTGCGTGACCGCGCCTCTCACGGCCGAGTGGTGGCCTGCCTAGCACAAGTGCGCCTCGTCCGATGGCCCCGACACGCACACGCGCAGACTGACACGGCGCACCTTCGCCGGGGCAGCGCGCGGGCAAGAGCGAGAGCGGGGCTGTGTGAGGAGTTCCGCTCTAACCCTCCCCCCCCGCTCCACACTGCCGTGCTTGCCTCGCCTTCTGGCTATGTGCTTGTGATCTGCTTCGGTGAAACCTGCTCGGAGGCGAGTCCAGAGAGAAAGAGAGACGGAACTAAGGAGGAAAATACATAAAAAAAAAAGGAGGCGGTCAGCGGCATTCATCGTTGGCGCCACGCTTCCATTGCCGAGCGTGTGCGTAAAGACGTGAGAAGGGAGGGGTCGGGGGCACAAAAACAGTCAAAGAAAACAAAGGCCCGGGGAGATTCCACAAAAAAAGAAAAAGGGGTGGAGGGGGCAACAACGCTAGACAAATTCGGCGCGCCGTTAGTCCCACCTACAAAAGAGGAGCCGTCGCGGCCCCACTTCTCCCTTCAATAAAGAGACAAGAAAAAGAAAGGGCCCTTCAGTGCCGTTTTCGTCGTGCCCTCCTTTCTCGCCGCAGATGCATGCACACGTATATATATATATAGAGAGAAGAAAAAGAGAGCGATAGGTAGATGCATGCATTCAGTCCCTCACAGTGTGTAGGGAAA